CGCGGGTGACGGGTCGTGTTCGGTAGTCCTAACGGGTTCGGGCGGGTGCGGGTTGGTAAAACTCGACCCGTGCAGGACTCTACCTCCTAGTGACGATCTGCGATATTACTGCCAGTATTGAAGGAGGAAATCAAGCAGTTGGTGGCGGTAATGCACCAAAAGTTGTTTACCAACTGCCATAAAACACAAGAAGAAGAAGATGAAGAAGGAAGGAATCAAGCAAATGAAAATGACGGCGCCCGTCACATTCAGAAAGCTATGCTTGATTATTATTACTGCACTTTGGTGTTATTATTTAAAATGTTGCGTTGAGAAGATTTCGATTGCTGTTTATAGTTGTTCTTCTTCTTCTGTTTTGTGTCGGTTGGCAAGCAATTTCCAGAGGGGCATTACCGCCAACTACTGGAATGGAGTGTGAATTGGGATGTGCAGCCAGACGGAGATGACGCGTTCTGCTCATCTGCTTTTGTTATCAGAGAACCGAGCCAGGGGAAAAACCAAGCCGAGCCCAACTCTGGAACTGGTCTGCAGTTAGCTTGGTTCGGTTGTGTCTAGCTTGGCACAGTTCAGTTTGCTTTCCATTCACACACGATAAGTTATCTCAGTTACTAAGCTCGGACCGGTCTCTGCACGGTTTTTCAAGGGTAGTGTAAATAGGGTATAAGGCTAAGTTCACACTGCAGCCTGAAGTGATCCTAATCTTATCTTTTGGCCCATATGCGACCTGGATCTGATCGTTTCATGACAGTCTGAACAACACAGATCCGATTTTTTCCATGCAACGCAGGCCACTTGGCTATGTGGTCCTGAATCCGATACGAATCTGATATTTTCAAATGGGACCTGTGTGTGAACGATCAGGTCGCATTTATCTGACCTGAACGCCATTAGTAACCGACATAGGTCACTATTCTGCTTCTTGCTACACAGAAGCGGCAAGAAAAACAAAAAACAAGATGATGCAGAGAGCAGTATTTTTTAACCATCTTGAAAAGATTGAGGTTATAAGGTTTGGAAAGATCGCTAGATGTTTATTTCCATAAACATGAAACACGCTGGCTTGTGAAATCATTGCGTCCTGTACTGCAAATGCGGGACACTTAAGCTGTATGAATGTAGTTCACACAGGAGATCACATACAAGTTTCATATATTCTGAAATGTGAACGGCAACACAAAAAATTCAGATATCACAAAAAAAATCAGAATTGAGCATCAAGGCCTGCAGAGAGAATGTAGCCTATGTTGGTTTAACACTAAAATCTGAATCAAATACACTAACATTTGTGATTAAAACATAAAAAATTAAAGGTGAAAAAGTTGTGCTTGGATATAAAATAATTTTGCCACACACCCCATCTTTCTGTTTCACCATCCTCCTCTACTTTAGTACATAAAGTACATTTGGGCACACAAGAAAAAATAACCTGCATGCATTTTAGAGTTATGTTTTAATAAATGAATTAAGTTGAACTTTTTGTCCACCGTAGCCTACAGACAGGCCTGGGCCTGCTGGGACTGAGGAGGGTTATTGTGGCTGAAAACTAGGGGATAGCCCAAGACTAAAGAATGCAAGGCATGACCCAACAACCAACAGCTGGGATAATACAATATGAAAAAGCACACAACAACCAGCCTGATTACAGCGGGGTTGCATAATCCAGAGGTACAAAGGCATTTATGTGAGGATGGAGAAGTTTATTGGAAAGAACTGGAACATTTACAGTTAAACTTTACCAAGACAGCACAGTAAGATATTAACAGGCTTTTTTCCTTTTTTTTTTTTTTTTTTTTTTACAGCTAGACAGCTTCCATGTATGCCATAATTTGTTAACAAGATAAAATATTGGAAGATGTTATACAGAAAAGAAGCTTAAAGTCTTCTACCTGCTTTAAACGCTTTATTTTTTTATTTAAATGAGGGATTTTGTCTTAAATTGTTACCAAACCAACAACAGTTGACCTACAATACCGCTTTAATTAATAACACAACGGGTTCGTAATTAAGGGCTCAATAAGATAAGTGTTTTGGTCAAACTTTAAAATGTCTTTTAAGTATCAAAAACGCGGTCATTGCCTTTGTTCTTTGTTTTCTTTTTTTTTTTTATACAATCTGATAACGCGTGTAGCGACTTCTTCGATGCGCGCGCGTGCTGCGGAGACACTCACCTTCGCATTTTTTCTCAGTCTTCCTCTTCTTTCTTTCACAAACAACCAATCGGCAAGGTATATAAATTTAATAAGGAGTTTGATTGTAAACAGAGCGTTTTCTTTGGGGATCCGGAGGAACTTTCCTGTAGAGGGATGGGCCGTGGCAGATAGAAGCAGGAAGGAGGGGGCTTCGGCTGCAGCTCACTTCCAGGTTCATTAACTCTTTCACTTCTGGTTTGTGGTCATAAGCTGCTCATGCTTTTTTAAAACGTGATTCTTTACCTTTCAGTTATCAAGACACAGTAACAGCAAGTGACTCTCAAATGTGAACTAAGAAAATCAATGACATATGAAATTAACACTGACTTACACACATATATGCAGTGGTCTAGTTGTAAAAAAAAAAAAAAAAATAATAATAATAAAAATAAATAAATAAAAAGGGGAATGATAGAATTTTCTCTCTTTTTTTTGGAAATAAACATAGCCTAATTATACTTGGACTTAGATTTATTTGGTCATTTCCTATACACAAATGTAAACAAAAATAAATTTAGTTGAGAACAGCTCTAGACAATTTCATTTTTTAAAGTGCAGCCTTGATAAGGTAAGCAGCAGTTATTGTTGAGCTGCTACTACTGCCTCCAGAAAATCTCCTGAAGCACTCACTTCTCCTGGCTCAGGGGGGAAGAGGACGATGATAACAATGCTGTGAGGGAGGTAGCCCCCTGGGTTGAAGCAAAATTTGTGCCATCATTTAGCAGCGACACACGATGCTGGAGAAGGTGTGGAAGCCGGAGGGCAATTGCGTAATGAAACAACATTATCTGAGTGGGCCCCATATGAAGTACAACACCCCATAAATCCAGTATAAATATGGTCTGGTCAGTCATACTAGTGTCGGGTGGGTTTAAGAGCACTTTTTCTCACCATTACATCTGCAAAGAGATGTCCTAGTCCACAATTGCGAAGGGGGCCACTAGGTGTCAGTGAAGGGGCCTCTAAGAGGTAGGGGGCCCCTAAGCAACTGCAGTCTCTGCTTACTGATATTTACACCATTGCCGGAGGGGGCCTGGAGGAGCACGGTACAGCACTAGCCCCCCCAGGCCAACAGCACCATCTGGTACTGCTGGATGCAGCTAAGACCCCGTCAGAATGATGGCGCAGCAGTTACATATCTTCTTTTTTGAAGAGAGTTTGAGTCGGATATTATCCATTTTGTTATCCAACGAGCGGACGTTGGAGAGCAGGATTGATGGAAGCGGTGGTCTGTGGGGATCTCGCTTTAGCTTCGCAGTTGGCTCCCCTCTGCAGCCTCGCTTTCTCCGTCTCACGCATCTCTTCCTCCGTCCGTTATTTTCCGCTGTTGTTTTTTTTAAATCTGTCCATAGCCCTCCACAGCTTTTTAAACGGTCAAAAATGTCAGTATTTTAAAAATGTTTGTGACCGTAGCTCAGGCCGATCATAGATACAGGTTTGATGTCTAGTTTGTATCATTTTAAGCGGCATAGTTTGTGAAAGTTTCTAAAGGAGTTGCTCTTGGCTGCTGCCTTGGAGCACCGCCATGGTAAATGACAAATCTATTTTACTTAAATATGATTAATATAGAATATAATTAATATAGTCTATTAACCCAAAGTAATATGCATGGTTGTTACATGTCAGGTACGCCAGTCATTGACCTTGACCAAGGCACCTTTCGGTAGAACTGCAGTCAGTCCCTGGACTGGCAAGGCTATCACTGCCCCTACATAGTTAGGGACAAATGTAGAGGACAAATTTCCCAGTGGGATCAGCTTTATAGTCGTGGTAGGCCACTTCTTTGATTTTATTTACTTTGCTCGGGCCCACAGCCCGCCAAATGTTGAAAGTGTAATATTATTGCCATTACTGTTAATATATAGTCGAGAGTTTACACATTCAGTGATAAAATGTCACAGGTGACGGTTTGGGGGATGGTCATTTAAGAAGGGGGCTGATTTTTAAGAATTTTTCAAGAAGGGGGATGCCATCCCTCCTCATCTCCCCTTAACTTGAGTACTATATGGAATCAAGAGACAACTACATATTTTCTTAAGCCAAATATTTGCTATTTCTAGAAATAAATTATGTTGTTTAAATTATTATTTTAAAATGGCAAGTATAAAGCATGCTTCATATATAAGGTTTTTCTTTTCACATTTGGTGTGTGCCTTACCTTTGATCCATAATAGCTTTAATTCACAAACCTAATGAGTGCATAGGACATTAGCCCAGGGACAAGCTTTCTCCTTAGTACTCTTTAAACTTACTGATTCTGATTTTTCCTTTATGCCACTGGGAAGAGTGCCAGCGGATACAATTAACAATGTAGGCTTTTGACAATTGATTATAGCAAAACCAATAAAAAGAGAAAAACCTGTTGACAAATTGTTAAAAATAGCCTGAAACGTCAGGCTTTCAAGTGTTATTAGGTTAAAGACAGCAGGTAATCGGTACTTGTCCAAGTAATTCAATTTACATGCAATCTAAAGAGATTTTAGTCAGAGCTCTACAGACAATAGTGTGATGTGGTTATAACCCAGATACTGACATAAGGGATTATGGTTTTAATGAGTTATCCTTCAACACTTAAACAAAAAGTTTATTTCTTTTAGTGGTCTAAATACAGGTTTACAGGTCTAAATTTAGATTTAAAATAAGAACAAAATTATTTAATTTTTGATTGTTTTTTTTTTTTTTAAACAACGATTATGAGTGCTACGTAAACCACATGTTATAGTGGCAGGAACTGCAGACAGCAAAAGCCTAACATTGTTGGTTTGCATTTGCTAAGGTGGGAAGCCAGACTGTAAATGTGCTGCAATGAATGGTGATGTGTGGTAATGTGTGTGTATGAAATACAACAAGAATTCAGCTTGCTAGCAAGGTTATGCATTTTCTACATTTATGTAATTCTGCACAATACACTGTAGTATTCAATGTCAATATGAGCTAATTACATGTAATATAGACTGTGTGGTTTTCATGCATCAAAACCATGCATACCAATAATATAATTGACCATTATATGGACTTTAATTGTTTTTTGTTACCGCTCAAGACAGGAGGTTAAATGACAAAGGATGCTAATGTCCAGAAAAGCACAGTATAGTTATGGAAGGAAATTTTCTATAAGCTGTTAATTGAAGGGTTTTAGATCCCCTTCTAAGAAATGAGTGTGCATCTCCTAGGTGTGTTGCCCAGTACAAGTTAAGTTTCTAATTGGTTGGTCACAATATTTTACGTCCATTGTAAAGAATTGGAGATGTCGATGCTAATGGATTTCAAAAGTCACATCCCAAAAGTTGCATCTTTAATTTGTCAATTCTAGTTACCAAATTGACTAGAATTTAAATAGCAATAATTTTCTCAGGTAGGGACAATAAAACCAGCCTTAGTTCACCAACTCCAGCTGTCAGCAATTTTATTATCTATGTAACAGTTTGAAAGTTTACAATGATATTTCCAGGAAATTTCAAATAACTGTTTTTCCTTCTTTCACTTTTACAACAAGTAGGGACAAGGGTGAATGTCAGAAACACTGCCTAATTTAAGACCAGTCTAGTGCTTCTACATCTCGTAAACCAACATTTATCATTGTGGAAACTTACTTCCTTTTTGTAAATTTACCACATACTTACAGTCATGCCTCAATTGCGCAATGGACAGGGTGGTCACATGACATGATTTAGCTTTCATCACATCTTTTTCTTATGCCTCTGTGTTCTAAATTTGACTTTAAACTTGCTCCACTTTGATTAATAACTGATCATCCATGTCCATAAGCTGTATCATCCTGCCAGCATGAGGAACAGTTCTAGTCTTTTCAGTATGATGGCAAAAAACATTTCCACCACTTGCCAAGCCATTGCATTGTTCCCCTTCAATGAGGCTGCCTTTTTGCTCCAGGCTCTGGGGAAGCTGTCTTCCTCTTAAGCTTTTGTCTGGTTCCCCTTGTTACAGTTCATGCACACATAGAGGAAGGGACAATATGTGTAGAGGCACACTGAACAAGCCCTGATTACATCTGTGTGTCTAGCTTGATGCTACATCTCTGCCAGGCTTTAATCAAATTTGATGTGAGCCACAAAGGAAAACATTGCACTTGGATATATGGTTTAAATGACAGAAGCTTCACATTTAGCTACCTTTAAACTAAGTAGGTTGACCAATATGTTCAATCAAAAAGGAGATTGTAAAATATACTAAACCATCCTGTTTATTTTTTTTCCTATTTTTATGAGGTTCTAAACTAATTAACATAAATTACCGCAAATCTTTTTTATCAATTAATCAATAACTGTAAACCTTTTGAAATACCTTTTATGGCCGCCAAATCTGATAGTTTTATAAGGTTTCTTCCCTGGCATTCCACTAATATCCACTAGTACAAATGATAGACAACTGGACTGACAACTCATCTGGGATAAAGGCGGGGTCACATTGAGTAAGAGGAAGAAGTTACATCACACTGAACAGCAACAAGGTGTAAAGCATGACTCATCTCACAGGAAATAGGAGAGATAGCAGGGGTATGAATGGAAAAGTTTGGACTTAGTCTTAGTTTATTATTGGAGTCTAAGTATGAGCACTGATCTAGCTCTATTTTCTATTCGCCACAGCCTGTTTTATGTTCAATGTTTATTGTTGTTCCTAATAGTCAAGGTTTAACGTTTATACATTTAGACAGTTTGTGGGAATAGTTAATGTCTTGGTTGTTTTATTCACACTTAAGACCGAATTGTCATGATCTTGACAGTGATGTGTGGTCTCATTACTCATTTCACTCAACTGCCTCTCTCTGCCCAGCTGTCATTACTGCTCATGTGATCAATCTGCTTCAGTGTCTATTTATCCAGCATTCAGACCAGTCATCAGTGCCAGATTATTTTCAAGCCTGTGGTGAGAAGTTCGCTAGCATTCCTGTATTTCTGATTACCTGATCCTGTCCCGTTCTAACTCTTGACCGCTAAGCCTTTCTGTCCCATTCTGATCTGTTTGCCTGACCTGTCTTCTGACTCCTGCTGGATCTCTGTCTGCCTGTGTACCGGACCTGGGACTGTTACCCGAATCTGATCTGGATTCCCCAGTGGCAGATCTTTGCATCTCTGATCTCCTGGCTCTGACTACTGAGCTCATCACTGACATCGGCTTTTGGTTGCCCTCTGGAAGTGGAAGACAATAATATACTTTGAAATTTTTGTTATCTATGATTTCACTCAAGACTCCCAGATGACTTGCAGAGACAAATTTTCTCTTGATAATAATAAATTCTTACTTTTTCCATTTAGTGGGGGAACAATAGTTAACATCAATGATAATTATCCTAACATCTGTTACTAGAGTCTAATGGCCAAGACAATAGCACAAAAATGTTTTACACATGAAATATCCTAAACACCAATATATAACAATCAAAGCAAATTCCATTTATAAAGGCTTCTGCAACATGCTTCACATTGCAGGTCCTTTAAAAGGTTGCATATCGGGCAGAGTTAAATTACCTGTAGATAATGGGAAAGATTTTGCAGTTCTATCGTAGTAGAACAAAAGGCAAGGTTTCCGGGGAATTGTCAACTGCCCAAGGAGAAATTTTTGATAAATTGCTAAGAAAATAAGGTTCTTTTAATGTTGCAATAAACAAAAATATTAAAGACAAAATAAAAGATAACTTTTATTTTTGGGGAGCAGAAAGGCAGTTCAGGTTTTGTTCCACCTGTGAACCAAAAAACCTCGCATAGGAACGTGAGGCTCTCTCTAAGAGTGAGAGGAAGGTTTTAGGTGCCACCAGAAGGTACTTAATTTTACTGAGACGTTGGTAATCTAGAGTGGGATCTCCCCCAGTTATCCAGGTTGGCACCACAGGATTGGTGTGTATCGGGCAGAGTTAAATTGCATATCGGGCAGAGTTAAATTACCTGTAGATAATGGGAAAGGTTTTGCAGTTCTATGGTAGTAGAACAAAAGGCAGGGTTCTGGGGAATTGTCAACTGCCCAAGGAGAAATTTTTGATCAAATGCTAACCCAACTGTTTTTAATATTCTTTTTTGTTTCTGCATATTTTTTATTTTATTCATTTTTTATTTTTTCCTACTTGCTTTGATTCTGTTTTATCTTCCTGTATTTTAATCATGTAAAGCACTTTGCATTGTCTTTGTACTGAATTGTGCTATACAAATAAATTTGCCTTGCCTTAAAAGGCTTTTTAAAATGTTCAGAGAGACCAACTGTGGCATTCTTAAGACATTTTGCAACTGAAAACACCATTTTCCGGAAACAAGTTGGTCCATCTGGGTCGTGAGAAGGTGACATTATGTAGATAAAGAGCACTGTGGTGGTTAAATTTTGCTACTTATCCTAAGCAGACCTAGTTGCATATTGAAATCCCCATTTTTCAAGAACAATTTGGGCAGTCTGGTTTTTGAGAAGGTACATGTTATGTAGGTAAAGAGAGTTTTTTGTGGTTAAAAGGTTTCAGGGTGTTTTTTAGGTGCTGTATGCATGTAGAATTCTTTAGGCTTTATGTGTTAGAATGTCTCAGTGGTTTAGTCTTCTGGTAACCAGAGGAGGATGTAGCAGTGGTTAAGTGATCTGGTAACCAGATGAGTGAACCCAGGAAACAAGTTGCCCCACATATCAAACAGTGAGGAGTTAAAACTTTTGAAATATGTTTTAAAACTAAAAACACCATGACAGAATGAATTTAAAATATGCAGACACTAAAGGGAAGCATGCATGTGTACATCCCCATTTCAGGACAAGCATCAGGGTTGTAGAAACATTATTAAAAAGATGTTTGTATCCATTATTGAAATTTGAGACTTTGGCCAATGAGAATAGCAGGACATCTGTGTTAAATGATGACCTGGATGTGTGAATAGAGTTCTGCAACTTAAGTTTTAAGCACTAAAGGCATGTTTAAGTTTGGGTAGTGTTAAAATGTAAGTACTATGTTGTCATAATTTGTGTCAACACTTGATGATACAAAAAAAAAAAAAAAGAGATCCCAGAATTAGCAATTGAATAACACCTTTGAATAGCAATCTACAATAAGCATCCTAAAAAAAAAAAAAAAAAAATCTGCTTGTACTGAAATCTGTTTCAATCGAAGTCGCGAAAAAAAAAGAGTTTCCTGCAACAACAATATTACAAAGTCTGTGTATTAGTAAGTTACGGTTTAAAAGTTCAAATACCTTGAACAAGTTAATGAAAATGGCAACATGGTATTGTTCCTTATCAAAAGACTCAATGAATAAGATGAAAAAAATCTAAGCTGCTACAGATGTGCAGTGAAGCTAAATAAAGTGATATTTAAGGGAATAGTACACCCAAAACATGATTAGCCTTCATTTTCTACTCACCCCCATGCTGAACAACACTCTGGAGTACTTTTTTGATATCTCAAATGCATCTGGAGATCTGGGAGGCTTCTTGCTGTCTGCTGACATTCAAATAATGGAGGTGCCCAGTGCCCGAGGCAGAAAGGTCCATAAAAGTCCACAAAAAACGTGTCAATATTCCTCCATACTGCTCGTCCAATGTATTCCAAGTTTCCTGAGTGGGTAGCATCCAGAATTTACTCGAAACGAAGTCATTTAGAATGTTTTTAGAGCATAAACAGTAGTGTATAGGATTTCCTGAAAGCGCGCACATGCGCGATCACGACGCTACGGAAGCCGGCAGACCAAACCAGCGCATTCAGCTCGGCAAAGAACTCATGCTCTTCCTCAACACTGAAGTCCTCAGACATTTTTCTTTCGTTGTTTCTTTCTTTGCACAGGTAAACAGCACATTTCTTCTTCTACGCTTGCATTATTGGAAGAGCAGACGCTGAATGCGCACTTTCATCTGGTTTGGTCTGCCGGCTTCCGCAGGTGCGCGCTTTCAGGAAATCCTATACACTACTGTTTATGCTCTAAAAACATTCTAATTGACTTTTTGTGGACTTTTATGGACCTTTCTGTCTCGGGCACCATAGACCTCCATTATTTGAATGTCAGCAGACAGCAAGAAGCCTCCCAGATCTCCAGATGCATTTGAGATATCAAAAAAGTACTCCAGAGTGTTGTTCAGCATGGGGGTGAGTAGAAAATGAAGGCTAATCATGTTTTGGGTGTACTATTCCTTTAAGATCAAGTACTCTTTTAGCTGCAGATTTTAGTTTCTTTTAGTTGCTTAGCAAACACACCTTATTTCTTTCTTCAGTGTCAAACAATGACAGAATATGCTCCAGTCCTGTTCAATCTTCCAACATCTTGGGAGGTTATTACTTAATCAATGACATCATCAAAAAGGAAATTAAGTTTTTTTGTTTTATGTTTTTTGGGAAATATGTGAAAAATTTGTTATGTGCAGTGTAATTATATTGTTTTAAAAAAAACACATTCACAGTAAATGTGCTGTATTTGAAATATGATCTTTATTTTAATCTTCAGAAACTTTCTTCCATTTTTAAAAACTTTCATTTCATTTTTTTACAACAGTCATTCTTTATTAGTATTTAAACATTTACTAGACAGTATAAAACTCCAATGGAGGTGCTACATTTCTTCAGACAAAATAGTTCAAATGTACAACATGAAAATAAATTGTACACGTTAGAACCTAGACATTTTCTTTTTTTTTTTATCACATTTAGAAAAAAGGGTTAAACTGAACAAAACAAGAGTAACTTACAAGGGAACCTTTATCATCAAGCAGTCTGTATTTATACAGGAGAGTATAAAGAGTCAGACAATCAGTTTATTTAGAAGAATAGTCACTTTTACTGTTAGAGTTAGTAAAGTAAAACAACTATTAAAGACATTTACACAAATGATGACAAATTTCTTTCGAATCTGGGTTTTGACAGTTGCGAAGAAAATTAATAATCCAAAACTGCAAAATGCCACTTGTCCACAATTTACTTAAATTAGGAAACTTTTAAAAGAAACATATTCTTTATACAAAGTGCAATATGTCCTGTAAACGCTCAGAATTTTTTTTACTGCAATTTTAGTTGTTATGACATCACACATTGGTGATCTCAATGCTGGAGTATCCATGGATCGGGCTTCCTTCAACTCTGGGGGGAGTGTGATCTCGAACTTCCCGAGGTAAGGAGCCAAAGCTGCTGTGACAACTCAGGTCCCGCCCTCCTCTGCTTTTTGGGCTAAACCCAATTGGAGGCTGAAGCAGGAAAAAAAAAAAAAAGATCAGTGCAAATAAACGCGACCAAAGACAAATCCATATTTTTTCCCAAAGTTTCCTGCATCCCTTGCTGTAACCAAAACATTTGTTTGGTGGGTTTTATTTTTGATTTATACAACAATGTAAAAAAAATAAAATGAAAAAATAACTCCTTCAGTCAAACCAAAAATTATTTGCTTCAGATCAAATGCACTTCAGATCAAGCACTTGTTTCTGAAATACACCTTGACAGCTCTCCGTCTTAGAGAGCCCTCGTCCTCACTGTGTCGGTTGTTAGTGCTGGGAGGCCGGGTCAGGGAGTTTTGGCGAAGGGGTGTTGGTGGAGTTACCACACCTGGATGATCATAGCTTTTTTGTGCATTTGCTCTACAGGGAAACATAGAAAGAAAAATGTGTCACCGATAGAAAGAAAACAGTATGAAAAGTAACATTAGCAGAGGGCAGCCTGCACCTTTGTACAGCCTGTACAAATAAACTGTCAACAGTTGTCATATGTGATCATACTGTTTATTAAATTTCAGCCGAAAACAGATATCCTGGAATAATTGGTTAAAAACAAGATTCTTATTCAGATTAGACAGATTAGAACAGTGGGCGAGGCAGTATGCATTATCTTCCAACTCCTTGTTGATAATCAAAATCAAACTCATATTTATTTATTATTTTAAATCTTTTTTTTTCCTATCAAATTCTTGATCAAATAATAACAATCATATAATAGAAAAATCATATTAACACAACATCAAGGATGAATTATAACAAAAACAGACACAGGAAAAAAATACGAGCAATGATTCACACTGGGTCCAACGGCCATTAAACACTTGTGTTTTTAAAACAGACTTAAAAAACAAAGTTAAAGAAGCTTGTTTAATATTGGAAGGGAGGGTATTCCAGAGTGTCAGAGCCACAACTAAAAAAGCATCTCACCTTTAAGCTTTGTCCTCATTTTGAGGAAAACCAAAAACAGCTGTTCTGATGGTCTTAATGCCAAGTTGGGACACAAGGCTGAAGCAGGTCAGAAAAATAAAGAGGTCCAAGTCCATTAAGGGATTTATAGGTCAAGAGGAAGCTTTTAAATGTATTATGTGATTCATAGGGAGCCAGTGAAAAGAGGATGAAACTAATGAAACATGGTCAGACCCTGTTGACAGTCAAGCCACAGTATGAGACGTGAAAGCAGAACTGACTAACCCTGATATAAAGTGCATAGGAAAATTCAAGGTGATTTTTTTTTTATTATTAAGGCATAAACTTGCTCCTCTAAGTCAGGTTTGGTTAGCGCTGATTTTAGATTAGATATCTACCCCAACTGAAGAAAAAAAACAAAAAACGTTCATTTAGACCAGAGATAAGGTTCAACAACACCGAGCTTCAATGACTAGAGCTATGGCTGAACTTCATGGCTTTAGTTTTTCCTTTGAAAAAAGGAGTAAAAAAGGAGTAGAAGTAAGACCTCCTGTTGTGAAATCAGAACACAATCTTGTTTTTCTCTGCTCAGAGTATAAGGCCACTTTATAAGAGACGAACCTGCATTAAAAAGAACTGTAAGATGATGGTCACAGCAAGCTGAAGTAGCCGTGTAAGATTGTTTTGAGGCTACAGTCTGGAAAATACTGTTTCAGCCACACGGAGAGGACATCAATGCCATGACTGACTACATAACTTCTGTGTAGATAACATCATCCCTACCAGAACAGTGAAATGCTTCTCAAATAATGAACCATGGATCACAAGTAATTTGAAGTAACTCTGTGTGCTTAACAAGTAAACACAAGCCCTTAAGAAGGAAGACAGGGAACTAAGGAGGAGTATATAGAAGCAACTTAAGATCAAGATAAGAGAAAGCAAGGAGGCAACAAGGCAGAGACAGGAATACAAGCTCCAGCAGAACAATATCAGGTGAGGTATGAAGATGATCACAGGCTTCAAGCAAAAGGNTGGTCAGACAGATGGAAGTCTGGAAAGAGCCAATAACCTGAATACATTCTTCAACAGGTTCAGTTCATGAACAAGCAGCATCTTGTTTTTCTAGAGACATGTCTGTCTCTAGAAGTAAAGTAAAGAGGCAACTGGAGAGACTGAATCGTAATAAGTCATCAGGCCTGATGATGTCAGCACCAGAGTCCTTACAGCCTGCATAGAGCAGCTCTGTGGGATTTCAGTAACAAAGAAGACTCAGCCAACAGTCCTCAGTGACTAAAGACCTGTTGACCTGACATCCCATATCATGAAGGACCTAGAGAGACTAAGACCTGCTTCAACATACCCACTGTTAGACAAGGCAAACAGCAGTGTGTGGATTATATTCGTCAACTGTCTAATCATGTAGACAGCAGCACAGGAGCACCACAGGGGACAATACTCTCACCATTCCTTTTTACTCTGTTCACCTCCGACTCCCAGTACCAGACAGAAATTCTGGAATTACTCTGCAGTCATTGGGTTGATCAAAGATGAACAAGAACGTGAGCATAGAGAGCTGGTGAACTGTTTTGTGTCATGATGTGTAAACAATCATCTGATCATGAATTTCAATAAGACAATGGAGATGAGTGTAGATTTCAGAAAAAACAGGAACAAGTTGAAACCTATTAACATCAAAGGAAAAGCAGTAGATCTGCCTGAGGAGTATGAATACCTTGTTCACCTGGACAATAAACTAGACTGGAGACATAACTGTGAAGCCATCTACAAGAAAGGACGGAGCGGATTGTACTTTCTAAGGAAGCTTAGGTCTTTCAGCGTTGCAAGAAAAGATGCTGCATATCTTCAACAAGTCTGTTGTGGAGAGCTTGATCTCTTCTGCCATCATCTTCTGGGGTAACAGTATAAGAGATAATGACTTAACAAGTTCAACAAGCTAATTAAGCATGCCAGCTTTGTTTTAGGAACTCCTCTATAACCTCTCGAGATTATTTCAAAATGAAGAATTCTTCATAATGTGAAGATCATTATGGACAACAGTGAGCATCCTTTTCAGAAGAGTTTTAAACAACAGTGTCTTCATTAAGAGGTTTCTCCAGATCATGTGCAAAACAAATTGATACAAAAAATCCTTCCTGCCCACAGCTATCAACACTTACAAAACCTGTTTAGAAAAATACTTATGAGTTACTGCAACATTTAATTTCCTACGGGATTAATAAAGTATTTTTGAATTGAATTGAACTCTAAAATTTTGAAGCTACCCAAACCTTGTAGGCATTTAATAGAGGTACAATGGAACAGGGAGAACTAGCAGGACTTAGGGGAAGTCATCAGCAAAGTTGTGGGAAGCAAGACCATGCCTACCCACAAAATATTTCAAAGGCAGTAGACACAGAGAAAACACTATTTCATTCCAGAATTCCATTGCAGCTCCACTAACCTTACCCAGTGTTCTTATCAGGATACAATAATATTATGAATAACAGTATCAAAAGCTCTGAACCTGTGTGATGTTTCATTATTAGACTTGGATTCATGGATTGTCCATAATGCAAACCATATTCAGGCATAAGGATGTCCATCTGTGCATTTAGCACCAGGACATCCTAAGCCAGAGGTTGATGATCAACTTTGTAGTCGTATCTTCTGACCTTCGGCCACGCCTTGGACACTCAGGTGTGGGGCAAAGCTGTGCACCGATTACCACATGGTGGTAAGCTGGTTAAGCTGGAAGAGGTGGAAGCCGGACAGGCTCTGCAGGCCCAAGCAAGTAGTGAGAATCTGCAAGGAACGTCTGTTGCAGCCCTCAGTCATCAACGTCTTCAACCCCCACCTCAGTGAGAGCTTTTCCTAGATTTCGGGGAGGCTGGAGACATAGAGTCTGCCACGTTCCCTGCCTCCATTGTCAATAGGGCCACTTGTAACTGTGGCTGTATGGTCTGCGGTACCTGTTGTAGTGCCAATCCCCAAACCCAGTGGTGGCCTGTGGCAGTAAGGCACGTGTCAAGCTGAAGGAAGATCCTATCAAACTTGGATGGCTTGTGGGACTTCTGAGGCAGCCAGTAGGTATCATAAAGTCAATCTTTAAAAAAAAAAAAATAATTCTTGCTGCTGCCCGGGTGTCACATAGGGGGAAAAAATTGGGCCTAGGGGGAGTTAAGAGAATACATGGATTAAGACTTTCAGTTGGCCATTCTGGAAACCGTCTGGTGCCTCTGGAGGGGAAAGTGCTTTGCTTACACTGTTTTCAGTGGGAGCGGGGAGCTGCTGACCCAGAAAGAGGAATTCATAGGATGGTGGAGGGAATACTTTGAGAATCTAATCAATCTGGCTGATATGCCCACCGTGGTGAAAGAGGAAATCAAGTGCTGCATTTGGTCATCCCCCAGATTGAAATTTCTGAGTTGGTCAAAAAACTCTACTGTGGCAAAGCTTCGTGGGTTGAATGTGCAAAGCTGCTGGGATGAGAATAAACTCCTGAAAGTCAAAAGCCATGGTTTTTGACTGGAAAAAAGTGACTTTTCCCCTTCAGGTTCCGGGAGAGTTCCTGCCTCAAGCGAAGGAGTTCAAGTATCTTGCGGTCCTGTTCAAGGGTGAGGGAGGATGTAGTGTGTTTTGGTGAAGAGAGAGATGAGGAAAAGGCAAAGCTCTTGATTTACCGGTTGGTAAACATTCCTAGCCTCATGTATGGTCATGAAATCTGGATCATGGCCGAAATAACAAGATCCCGGATAAAAGAGTCGGAAATGAGCTTTCTCACAGGGTACCTGGCACTCCCATAGAGATAGGGTGAAGAGTTTGGTCATGCGGCAGAGGCTCCAAGTAGAGTCCATTTTCTGTCCCATCGAGAGGAGCAAGCTGAGGTGGCCGGGACATTGTTTTTCGATGGCCCCTGGACGCCTTTCCTGGGAGATGTTCCAGGCATGTCCCACTGGAGGGAGCCCAACTCGACAACCCAGGACACTCTGGAGGGTAATGTCTCTTTGCTAGCCTGGGAGTGCCTCAGGCTTCACCCCAGCAGAGCTGGAAGAGGTAGCTGCAGACAGGGAAGTCTGGGTGTCTTAGCTAAGACTGCTGCCCTCACAACCCTGTCCTGGATGAAGCAGACGACGACGAGTACTACAGTAGTCTGAAAAATTGCCTAGGATGAATAAGTACAAGGATCACAAACTGCTCTGCGTCAGTATAAGGCTCTGCGTCATTTGTTCTGAAACTTCTATTGATCATAGCGAATATAGAAGGTCCAATTAAAGTTAAAACACACGGAAAATATAAGCAAGGGAGCCTGAGGATAATAGATGACATATAATGTATTTCACAAGTGAGAGAGGTATAGGTATAAATGAATTGAAGACAGTTTAACAGGTGACAAAGATGGATGTATCAACCATAAAATCAGCGACACAATTGACTAAACTCTTTGAACAAAAGGCTTAGACTCATCATAAGTATGCGATGAAACCTCCAAGCTGGCACACTGTGGCACATTTAAAATATATTTAATTGTGTTAAAAAGAACATGGAGATTTTTACAGTATAAGGCAATGATTTTAGGGAAATCATTACCTTTGTTTCCTTTTCCTTTCATTATATTCTGATAAGATTACGCATATGGATGTTAAAATTCCCCCAAATTAAAATCTGGTTATTTGAACAGATTTTCTTTAAGGTTAGAAAAATACAGTCAGAAAATGTCTGTTTAATTTAGATGCTAGTACATTTTCACACACAGGATCATCTTGGGGAAATCCAGCTCCTCAGAATGACACAGCTCAACACTGAAACACTGAAAAGGAACTGGTCTGTACATTGCCTATTTAACTGCATCATGTGCTGTATATACATGTGCATTCGTTCCCACCTGGCTGAGCCAATCAGTGCCATCATCTCTTCCTCAAGGTGTCTGCGGACCATATGTTTGCTGCTGGGGATTCCCAATGCTGTAGCCATGGAGTCTGTGTTGAAAGTGGGGTCAAGTATCATAACAGCTCCGTGAACTCCACTACTGAGGAGGCTGTCAGCATATTCCTGGTGGCAGAAATTTAAAAAATTATATATTTGAATATCTTTTCTTTTTATTATAAGAACAAAGGTTTATGTGGACTATAGTCTTTTAAAAGCTTGTTTTGCAAGCAAGAACAAGGAGGATGTCATCTTACACATGTGGCTTTTCAAGTTAAAGTAGGGAAGGTAAATTTTAATCTCATTCTTATATTAAAATATCTTGTTTTACTGACCTTGATAAACATATTTATTCATCTTTATGCTTATTGCAAATCAAGTTTGGCTTCAATAAGATTTACTATAGGTATTAAAGGTATTATCATGGCTTTCTTCTTTCAATCATTATCTCGTAATTCTCTCGTATCAAAGACTATTGATAAAATAACAAAAATGCCAAGAATGTAATCAGAATTATACAACTCAACTATTAAAGTATCAGAACATACAAGGAAGCTCTTTTGCTTCTCTGTCCAAATTGTCTCTGATAACTAAAATATTAAGCTAAGACTAACTGTTAAGATATAATCAACATCATTTAGGTGAATGACGTAAAGGTTTGCAATCCTTATACCTTTAGATTTTACTTTTAGTTATTGTCTTTAGGCCTAACACTTGCACTCCCCTCATTAGTGTGTTACTTGTCAAATAATGTTTTTAATCTGTCAGCAATTATGGATCCAGGTGTTAGATTTGTCAGATGGGTTATCTCTGTTTTGCACATCCTGATATTTTATTCAAGTTGAAAACTTATATCTGAAATTTGGTTTAAAAATCCTTCTTTTGCTCATCAGTACTTCTCAGTGTTGCTAAAATCATATCCTCATTTCCTGAACCTTTAATAAACTACTAACTACTTTTAGCTGTCAGAAAAAAAATAACTGTAATTTGGGGATGAAGCTTTTTCAGCTATGACAACCAATTTTTTAAAAAGCTGTCACCAAACTTTAAACAAGCTTTTAAATTTTTAAGTTTCTTATAAATATATTTATTTTCTTTCTTGTGTATTTTTCCTTAAGCGGGGTCTGCAATAGCATTTCGTTGATGTTGTTTTTTGTGTGCTGCCACACCTTTAGGTCAATATCTTTGATCCATTTCATGACACGATGAGACGTCCAGACCAGAAGATCCTCATTCTGATGCTCACATTGTATCCGGCGAGCCTGCAGCACCTGGAATATTATTTTAACAAACACCTTTTACCAAAGTGGAAGCTTTCGTTTAAGTTTTCGGCCTGAACACATCCAAGCAGATTCTCTGCTAGAGGATTTTTTCTGGCTCACCTCTTTGTTGAAATCCAGCGACTGCAGTAGTTCAATGCCCAATAGCAGGCTGACCTGATGGAACTTCTTGGTGATGTTGAGGTGACGTTCTAGATCACGGCGAGTCAAAGAGTTCAGCATGCGCCCATCCACCAGGTGAGTGTGAAAAGCCTGGGAGTACTGAGGCAATCCCACATCACCTAACCAAGCCTTGGCCACCCAGTGGTGATCCAAATCAGCAGCCTTTGACAGCCTACCAACAGAAAATGTGGTTATTTATAGAGAAAATTGCAATAAAGGTATTACAGATAGCATTTCCAAGACTAATATTCTAAAGAAATGCAGAGGGGCTTTTGTTCACTCCACAGGACTGAGAGATTCCTTTTAAGAGTTCCTAAACATTCTTTTAACCAGGAACTCCGGATATTCCAGCTTAGAAGGGCTTTGGTGTTTATCATCAGCCTCTAGTGCAACACTTCAATAATCACTTATTTCAGGTGGAACAGAAAATAGCCTTCATTTGTCATTTTGAGTTTTAAACCTATATTTGGTTAACTTTTTTCTCCATAGGGGAGAGGGATATCACAATATAAAAAGCTTATTCTGATTAGTGTCAGTTTCAAGGAAAAGAAAAAAAAAGGGTTCATGTTTATACATTTAGGTTGCTTTACTGACAGCTCAGTAATCCTCAAAAAAGGGAGTAAAGGAGCATCCTATTTTATTGTAATTTTAAAGACCTGACACTCATCTGTCAACATAATTAGTACTGACAAGGAACAGTGGCCAAATCACTGTAGTGGTAAATATCTAAAGTATGAAGTGGGTCTCATCCTGCCTGGGGAAAACTTCAGTTATTAAATTGAATATTTGAGATCTTAGATGAAAGGCTTGTAGAGGTTTTTACTTTAAATCACCAACAGATCCCCCCCACACTATTATCTCCTATAATGATTAGTTTCTTTAAAAATTGTCTTTATAGCCATCCTTACTCTCTTCCATTTTCAGCATCTCTGTAATCCTCTATGGCCAGGCGGAGTTTTCGTCGGTGCATTAAACTGTTAACACCTAAACCTAGCTCCAGGTCTTCATCCGTTAGTCCCAGTAAAACCTGAAAATGTTCAAATGAATACATTACCATTCCTTGTCCTTCAGAGTTTCACAGTTTAAGATAAATAGTGGGATAAAGATACAGCTGCTGTTACCTTTCCACTCTTAACATTTTCTGAGCAGGTGCGAATGTACATAGGCATTGCCATGACAACCTCCAGCCAGGCCTGCACAGTTCCTGCCCTCCACTGAGACATGGGGGTCGTCCTGGCCAGCTCCACTTGCTGGAGGCGATCCAGCTGGTCCTCTGACCCATCTGACAGGCTGAGGCGGGTGGTGCTGTAGATGCTGTCAGAGTCTGGGTGGGTGAAGGGATGAGGTATAGATGGGTGATGTGGGTGAAGTTATGAGTGGAGGTAAGTTGTGGCAGTGAGTTTAGTGAGCAATGGTAAAAAAAACAAAGTGTTACTGTACTGAAACAATAAGTTCAAAGTAAAAATCAGGCTTTTGAGAGAAAAAATATTTGTCTTTCTTGAAAAGCATTTACTTGGCAGTTGTAATGCTGTGAAAAAGATGGAGATTTTATGAATAAGCAGCTGATTTAAAAAAGTGCATTAATAGATCAGAAGTTTGAGCTTTTAAAAAACATGACACATCCATATAAATAAGCCTAAACAAATGGCATCATTAGGAAAAGTAGGGTATTCTCATGCAACCTCATTCTTTCTGCCTGATATTACATTACTGCCCAGCTGGTACATTCTGTGTATGGAAAAATATCCCCTTTTACTTTGAAAAGCCTATCTGCAACTTAATCAAAACACACAAATTTAGATTTCATCACCATCTCGTGTTTGCAGGCCAAAATGAAAGTAAATTAACGCATTTCCCTTATTCTGACAGCAGGTGGCGACATCCGCATACTTCATAATTTATTTCGTATCAGCAGAAGGTCTAGAAAGGTTGTAGCAGCAAATGATACTGATACAACATGACTCCTGTAATACCTTTGCAAATCTTTGCACTTTTATCATACTTCTCACTACAGCTATGCTGTTTCCCTTTGCCTGTGTCTGAACATTATCCGTGCTCATCAAGGCTAAAATAGTGAGGATGCTGGGAAGGCAATGAGCCTTGCATAAAGCATCCATCTTTTGGCTCCGTCATAATGTACAATTCAGAATCTTTGTCCTTGCTGTTCTCTGCACATTCGGCATCCATTCTTTTTACATTTGTTAAAGAAAAGTAAAATTGAATAACATTGATATTCCATTTATATTGTGTACTTTGAAATTTTGCTTAAAAGAAGCCATAGAAAAGGGAAATGAAATAATGTTGCTCTTTTCTTGTTTTCTGTCATTATATATATATATATATATATATATATATATNTGTGTGCGTGTTAATGGTTGTTTGTTTATCCTGCTTTTCTGTGTGTTGGACTGCCGACCTGTCCAGGGTGTACCCCACCTCTCGCCTGCAGACAGCTGGAAATAGGCACCAGCACCCCTCGCGATATATACATATATATATATCTTAAAAGACCATCTCACAACAGAAAATAAACCTTTCAGAAAGTGGGTATGCTGGTAAGTGTTGAGAGAACTAAACAAACTGGAAAGCTGATCAGCTGCTGGATAGATAAGTTGACAGGAAAGCAGGCCCAAACCATGAAAGCACCTTTACTTTGTTTCCAAGGCCAAATACGGTTCAGTCTTTTATTCTCTGTAAAAACAATAGCTACTTTCCAGCAGCACACTGACTTGCCTATATAACCACAAATATATGGGGATGGAAACCAATGTAAATATGCAAGATATAGTACGCCTGATATATAAGCTTTTAGGTCTCCATAATTCAGGTTGTATAAACTAAAATCTCCCTAAAATATAGTTTCCAGCAATTTGTGTTGGTGCCTCACCTAAATAAGACATGAGTATTTTTTTTTTTGTCAAAGCAATAAATAAAGCAACAAGCACTCTCTCAAAAACAAACAATCTCAAGGTTGATACTCCTCATAAATATCTAATACTATGTTGCTACAACTTGTCTTCTTCCTGCTTGTAATGGGCTATCACAGCCTAAATACAGAACAAAGAACCTTCCTAAATGGTTTCCAAGTTAGTTTATAACTATTATAATCATTGTTGAAGAAAAAAATATATATGTTTGATGGGTTGCCTTTTCAAATTTAAAATGAACAACTTACCAACTTTAGAAATGTAACAACTCACCATTCACTTTATTAAGTAAACACTGAGTGATATTGTTACTAATGGATGTGAAATAAAAAAAGAAAAAAAAACATTAACAAAAACAGAGAATTTTGCAATTAGTGAAAAAAAAAACACTGTTGCTCTCAAAAGCAGAACTCACCATTGTTCTTACATAAACATCCTGATTTGATGGGGAAAAAAAGAAAAAACTTACTTCAACTTGAAGAAGTGCTAAAAGTCAGGTCAGTGTTTAATGTTGTTTAAGGGTTAGAAGACATCTGCCAACACAGTTTGCAACCCAGCACAACTGGAACTCATCTTTCTCTAACCTACTTGAGAGAGACTGGTTGCTTCTGGGGTCGCTTCACTGTGTTGAGAGTAAGATGGGAGTTTGACAAGAAGTGGTCAGAGGTTGAGATTAGTGGCCACATCAGTACACACCATTACTGACACCATGCACTCACATATAAGGTCTGGCATGGCCTTATCTTCCCTTGCCCATTTGTTTTGACAAAATTTTTGCAGCTCTTTGCAAAATAGAGAGAAGCTTTCCACTGAGAATAAAGAATTCAGAGAGGGAGCAGAGAAAAGAAGGCCATTTGAAGGCTGCTCGTTGCAGCTCCTCCAGTGATAAAAAGGGACAAATCAGAAAATACCATCACAAAAACCCATAGACATCAAAATACAGGAAAAGAGAGGACAGCCACGTGGAAATAATTATCATTTATTTCATTTTAAAATAATAGTATTTTTCTTCCTTGGTTCTTTTGAGCGTAACGTTGTTGCCATGCCTTTAAAAGTTGCTACAGTCCACTTCTAAATATCTCAGTTCCACACTGAGGCCTACATCTCTGACCTTAAATAAACTTTTCAATAATAATAATAATATATAATAATAACAATAATATTTCTGTAATGCTAATTTACAAAAAAGTAAATTCTTTGTGGAAAAATAAAAACATACCGTGGCTCAGAATATGAAATTTTACAGTGCTGCATTTGATATGTTTTCCCCCCATCAGCAGTTATAAGTTGGTTAAATGAAAACATAGGAATGTCTGTATTTTCCTATACACTATTTAATAATGAATACATTGATTGGTTGAGTGTTTCCAATGAATACAGCTGAATATGTGATCATTATCTGCTTTTTTGTTGTTTTTAAAACCCTTAAATGTTACAGATGGTCAAACAAATTTCAATATCAGATCTGAGTACATATAAAACGGCATTTTCACTTAGCCTTTTATTAAGGTCAAAAAAAGCAACATCCAAATCAGACTGACGTTTTTCTAAATAGAATAGATTAACCTAATTTTTTTACTACTGACACCTTTAAGTCCAGCAAATGTTAAAAAAAAAAAAAAAACGGTAGACAACAAGAAATTATCTAAAAAATTATAAAACACCAACAGTTGTTCCAATTTCAAGAGATTTAATTGATATCTATCAATCTAGATAGTATAAAAAAAATAACTTTTTTGAAGCGTTGGGATTCCACCAATCACTGAGAGGTGAGCCAGACATATTTATTCCGATAACACCTTAATGACCCTTTGAATTACCTCATCTAATGCAATGCAGATATTAAGAGAAAAACTATTTGGACTGTTTAGATAAAAGTGGAAGGTACTGTATGCTTTTGATAGGTGTTTGCAATCTCAAATTAGTTGCTATTTCATGCCTCCTACCATCATAACTTTTACAGTCAAACATGGTGGCAGTCCAACAATCTACTGATTTAATCTTAGGCCTTTTTTCTGTGTTAGGATATACACTAATTGCCTTTATTGATTTAACTAAAATATTGCTTTCTACCGGAAATTTGGAAGAAGAATGCTTGGTTATCAAGTTTTGACTTTATAATTAAGAATCCTTATAAAGATCTGAAACAGACCAGCAAATCCACCTCTGAATAGCTAAAAGTATTAAAATTTTAGAGAGGAATGGTCAAGGTTAGAAATTAAATCAATTTGAAAGACTTTGAAAGCCTAAAAAGGCTACTTTATGCTAAAAAGGAAGAAAAAAAAACTATCCCGTTTGACTGATTTAAAACAATTTCACAGAAATTAGTTGTCCAAATTCTTTAGTGAAGTAAAAAAGAAATGTCAATTATCAGAATTTTTTACCGTTCTTGTTGTTGCCAAGGGTAGCGCAACTTGTAATTAGGTTTAATGGGGAATTTATTCCACAGGTTGTTTTAGCTAGTTAATATCTCTCAAAAATCTAAATCATGATTTCTATTATATTTAAAACCAATTTTTGTGTTCACCCGTTTTTCCTTTATCTGTCATTGAAATTTGTTTGATGACCTAAAACATTTAATTGTGACAAAACAAGAAAAAAATAAAGAGAAAAACAAATAAAATAATCTGTAAGGCAGCACATACTTTTTCATAGCCCTAAGGGGGATAGTTAAAATATCAACTATGCCTGCAAAGTCTGGTAAAAACAGTTCCAATTCTATCTGACACTCCTTTTAGTTGTTGGTGAGGAAAATGAATACCCAGTGATAGTTTAATGTCAGGGAGAGAAGAGATTTCCAGTGGGGGCAGTGCAGACTCCAATTTGATCCAGGAAGAAAAGAATCCTGTGTCTCTGGACATTCTTTTGCTTGCAGAAAAGTAATTAACCTTTATCACACAGTTAATTGCTTTCCTCAGTTGTAGCTTAAACTCCAGAATTTTAAATGAACTCAGGGGATCACCTGGAAATCAATGCTTTTACTTTATTAGTATGCCTGAAACCTAAAATACACACCTTCGGAGGTGAAACTCATCAATGGTAAAGCACCCTGTTTAATGTTTCCTTCTTTTAATTGAGGTTCCATTTATCAGTTAGAATGACTTTAATTTCACAGGTCTATTATAGCACTGACCATCGGTTTTTATCTACAGCTACTAATTTCAGATGAGCCCCTTTGCTATAATCCACCCAGGGAAGCTTTTTGGTGTATTATGGCAATGATAGCCGTGAGCAACTACAGGATTGCACAGAAAGAAAATGTGAGAAAAAAATATATGAAAAACTAAAACAGAGCTGTCTTTTTTTTTCTAAATTAAATTTCACATGGCAACGTTGCTTGGGAATTGTTAAATAGGGTTCAATTTCATTTGGGGTGGATTTGTAAACTCTTACAAATAATAAAATCAACGAATTAAGAAGGTCGATGTTAAAATCTAAATTTTTATATCTATATTTGAAATCAGAGAAAACCATGATTACATATTATGAAATCAGTAACTGACCTCTCTTTTTAAAGCACCCTCTTCACAACATATGCAGGGAAAGAGTTTTTTTTTTTTTATGAGGACTCAACATGCTTTGGGGGTCTGAGACCATTTGCATGCATGTCACACGTTAAGGTGTGTGCAGTGCCTTGCAAAGGGTTAGAGTGACATCACACTGGAAGCATACATGGTTTAATACTTTAATAAATAAAAAAATTGAAACTATGTAGCATGCAATGGTATTCATCGCACCCTAATCTATTACCCCTGAATAAAATTCATTGCAAATGAATGCCTGATGAAGTTCCCTCCGACATACAAAAAGTTTAGAATAAATCCAGCTATTTAGTCAAGACAGTAGAGGATAAATTGGGGACGTTAAGGATGAAGGACCATCAACACTATTAGGCACATGAAGTATAAAGTTGTGCAAAAGTTAGGCCATAAAATAATCATGAGATTTTAAATGTCACAGAGCAATGCTGCGTCTTTAATCCACAAAATTAATATTGCACAACTGGATAGCAAAGGAGTTATTGAGAGAACCTGCAGAGATGCCTAGGGTAACTTTGGACGGGCACCAGAGATCTACATCTCAGAAGGGACCCTGATGACAAGAAGCTCTGTTCCCTCATCTAATCTGACCTTAAGGGAACAGTGGCAAGATGAAAGACAGAAGAAGCCCATTTCCAATCAAATCGATCTGCGGAAATTTAGAGCTGTGTTGGCCTTTACATTAAATAGGCCAGGTTACAGAACCAATTTCATTCCAGAGAAAACTCGGGCTGAACTCTATCTGGCATTTTAAATCAGGGACATTGTTTAGGCACATCCAGTGCTTTAAATATAAGCAGAACCATGAAGTGTTGAACCTGTTAAATGTTCTATATCATGCTTTAAGTTACTTTTAGTAAGATAATTAATGAAATAATGCATTTAAAACTATGTGGGCATTACTATGACATGAAGAAAATCACTTGCCTTCAAAGAGGAGTCACCCCTTTTTTAACTCAACTATTAAAAACATCATTTCATTAATTTATAAATTTACAAAATGAGGAAGATAAATCAAAGATGACATGAACACTTTGGCAAGGCACTGCACCTTCTATCTATGCAGATAGAAGTTTTCTGTTTGAAATCATCATGTTGTTGAGCATACAAAGTAAAATACATACTAAACAGCTTCTTTGCAATTAAAAAGTTAAAATCAGTGAGAATCCCTGAACAGTTTTCATTTTTTGGAGGAATAGGATAACTGACAGCCAAATTACTGTTTAAACTGAGGAGTCTGCATACGCCTACAGGAAACTGTTCTCATCATTGCTGTGTGAAGGAGGAGGGTTGGACCAAGCAGGACAAGAAACACATAAAAACAAGGGGGGCTTTGAGTTGTGAGGGGAGGGGATTACATGTCAAAATTAACAACAGGCAATTGGAACATGAAGACATTTACAAGCACAAAATGCACAACAACTGTTGTTATTTACAGATTGAAGCAGTCCTTCAAGTTTCCAGTTATTTGAAAACAAAAAAAGTCCAGAAGAAGATCAAATATAATAGCTTTAACAAAGCATGTCCACATTGTTGCTGCTTCTATTTACAGAACTGTACATACATACAGGTTCTATTTGATCAATAAGGGTTACACTTCACCGAAGCAAGACACATTTCCAGCTTCTGACATGGCTTCTGACCATTAATGGCACACCAATGCGCATGCCGACGCTCACACACACATGAACAGCACCCCTTCTGGTAAGACTGAACAGGCCCACATATATATTATATCTATATACTCCAACATCCATCCTTTCACACATTAAACACAAAGTGGTCCACAGGTGGTTCACTCAGAGAGCTGTGCTTTACCAGTCTGCATCCTCTTCTATGTAATAATCAGGTGTGGAAGTACCATCAAACAAACCAGGGTCCAGAGACTTGCGTTGCTTTCCCCGGGCAAAGACACGCGACAGCGAGCCCAACCCCATCTTTTCTTTCTTCTTCTTACGCTTCGCCTCCTCCAGATCTTCTAGGGACTGCAGGAGGAACAAGAAAGAGGGAAGATGAATTGACAACCACAGACGGGGATGTTCTAAGAGCTGAAGAGGTGCAAAAAGGGCAATACAGATCAGGGAGGAGATCAAGGAGAGATGAACCCTTTCGTGCTGCTAGATATGCACCAATTTAACATCCAATTTTTTTTTTCCCCATAAAGATTCATGTCACGTCACTAAAGTAAGTTCACAACAGACTGCATGGGGCAAATGTGAACTCAGCCAAAAGGATGGTGAGGGAAAACAGCAGCAGCCATGCAATATAACAGTCAGCAGTTGCAACAATAGGAGGTGATTACTTGAGTGGGTGCAGTGGTGGGCAGCTCTTACATTGCAGAGGGAGTGAGTCCGGTGACGTGGCGAGTTTATGTCACTGGGTGTAGATGACCGATCTCCCTCCACTGCAGAAGCATCAGAGATGATGGAGGGCTGACGCGAGTGGATTGGGCTCACCCGCACAGCAGCCACTAAACAGGACAAGAGGGTAGAGAGGACAGGCTGGATTTGTCTCAGGTGTTGGGGGCCCCGGAGTTAGAAAATGAAAAAACTATAAATATGGTGGACCCTCAGTACTTAGAACAGCTCCATTAAATAAAAATGTGTTTAAAAATAAATACAGGACAAAAAATGATATAGTTTTGCAAGCAGCTGCAGTTGCTTAGCAACAGAGAAAACAGCTTCACAGAGGTTTAGAGTGTGTGCCCAAACCAATGAGACTGATATATAAAGTACAGGCAATTGCAATGCAATTTAGAGTTCGTGACTGTTTCCACATCCTCCCTGTCTTTTACTGTTTGTCTGCGGCTTCTTTCAGATGTCCCCAATTAGTTAGCAACTAATATGTGGACCTATAGCTGCTGAACGGATTTCTGCTATGGAGGCTGCAGGGATAATTTATGAAGAGCTTTCCCTCTGAGGGTAGCAGAGAGCATTAGTTTACAGCAAAAAAGTGAATTCCTCTCTTTCTTGAACTGAGCAGGTAAATGCCACACTTTAACAATGAAATAAAGTAATAAAACACTTTATTTTTCAACTAAGAAAAAAACATTGTATTGTTTTATCTGAAATGCATAAAATCGAATTATCTTATTTTAAGGGCAAAAATACTAAATTTAATGGCAAATCATCTGGATTATGTGCTCAGATTAGGGGCAACACTGTTACCTTAAGACAATTTATGACAATTTCTGTTTTTGGTTTAATTGTTTTTTCTTCTTTGGTGTATTTTTAATGTCAAAAACTGTTGTTTAAAAGAACCCAACCTAAAACTTTTCTGAAAACTTCTGAATATGTTTGTGGCAATCCAACTACTGCTTTGTGACCTGGAGGGGCTGCTCAAGCTACATACAACACCCCCCACGGTTGATGCTGCCCAACTTACATTAGGTATTAAGGAGAAACTTCACTCAACCAGCAATAGAGACTCTTTTCTCTGTTTATAAGTTTGATATTGAAAATATTATAAACAATATGATTTTTATATAAAACATATTTATAAATTATAATTTAAAACAAACAAAAAATCTCAGGTAAGAATGGAATCACTAGTAGTTTTTTTGTTTTTTTGTTTTTTTTTACATACAAGTCAATCTTTGGAGTAAGAAAATGAATATAAGGTAGACAAGCACAGGATATGAATGACTCAAGGGACTGATTATGATCTATTTATAGATGTGTTCCTATAATCATGTAGAAAGACAATTTTAGTACATTCAGTATTTCCATACACTGGTGTTACAAAGAAGATTCTGCTAATAATAGCATTTCTTTTTCTTATTCTTCATAAAAAATGATACTTCTTTTAAAAAAAAACACTAATATACTTTCAGTATATTACCCTTGCCACAACTTCAAAAAGATAGGTGATATAGCCCTATATGATATGGAGTTATGCTTGTTGCTTCCTTCAAGAAAATACCCAGATGGCCTTAGATAAGCATGACAAACTGATTATAAATTTCTAATGTGGTTTTGCAACTTTTCAGCTCAGACAATATATTTACTGCTACCTTACTGTAGCTCCCTTTTTGTCATTATGTTGCTAACACTTCTACTGCAGAATAGCTATTTGCTACTGTAATTTAGAAAAATGTTTTCCCCCCTGACTGTTGCAGTGTATGCCAGTCAAATGCACAATTCTACACCACTGAGATGAATACTGAGCTGGAAATACTTAGTAACAAGTTCAAAACCAAAGCTATTTGCAGAAAATGTAATCAATAAATAAGAGAAATTATAAGAATTTGAAGTATTCCACTTTGGTATAACAACATATTGTACAGTAGATTTAACACGCAACTCATGTTTAGCTGCCACTTCAGAGGAAATAAAGTGCATGATTTAACACAGCTGGAACATAATCATACTAAGTAGATGGTAAGATTGAATGCTTAGAAACCAACTTCACATAAACATGCAGAGTGTAAGCAATGGGATAAGCATCTTGACATGTTCATGGCAAAAGTATAGCTTCCCCTCATGTTAACCCACCTTGTCTGTCAGTAGGATGGCCGGTGTGGACATAGAGGGTCTGCTGACTCTGCCTGATGGCGGCAGTCAGGGGAAGATCAGCCTGCATTACCCACTCCTGGTTGTTGCCGTTGACGACCGCCTCTGTGGGCATGGCCAAAGAGTGACGCTTGGGTACATCCTTTGTCAGGGTGGCAAGCGACTGTTTGGCCTTAAGGAGACACAAATGCACATGTTCATATTTCAAATCCTCACTCCACCACTCTCATTACTGAGCGTGATGGGGCTTCCCTGCCAGTATTATTATTATTTCTGTGTATGTTTACTCATGGAAATGTAATGCATCCAAAAAGCTACAGAATGTGTGATGCACATAGATATTTAAGGTTTGCTTCCTGGCTCATCATGAGGATGTTGTATCAAGAATAATCAGTCTGTAATACTTCATTCCCTTTCTTCTGTGAAAAATCTCTCATTATCACTCCTGGGACTGGGACAAAATACAGTAATTCAACAAAAACACAAAGCAAAAGAGGAAAGAAATATTGGAGAGAATGTGAGGAATTTGTTGCCAAGAGTTTGAAAGCTGGAGGTTGGTGTTGTACAAAAATACAGAGAAAATTAAAAACAATTAAGCTTTTCTGTTAACTTAAATTAATACATTTGCTTTGAGGTGCTTTCAGACACAGCAATAAGCTTCTGCAGCCTTAGGAGATTTGTTTTTTTACCCCCCTAAATACATCAATAAAATTTTCTTTTTTTTTTCCTCCGTCAGACTTTTATTTTGATTAGCTGTGACATGCTGCTGCTTAAAAATTGCTTCAAATAGCGTTATTGTGACAATCTTATTATCATGCGAAGCACTGCAGGCTGCAATTCATCATCACAATCAGCTTCACTGCAATCACGTGTGCTTTACTGGCAGTCAAACAATAATCAGTCGCAGTTTTTTGACATACAGAACAAAATAAAGTCACAAATGGTCAGGGCAATTAGTGTATTTTGCACACAGCATTTCTTATGTTAGGATCACCAGGATCAGATACGGTGAGCTGGGGATTACAAAAAAAACCCAAAAACATACATATGTGGAAAGAGGCTTCCTAGAAAATACAATTAGGTCACAGGTAGGGGAGATTTCCAGGGAGAATTGGGATCAAAAAGGGTGAGATTTATTTTCAAATTGTGGGCCTGTCTTACCGCCATGACCCTAGGAGAGTAGTCCCTGTCCGCAAGCCGCTCAAACACCCGGAACTCCATTCTCTGATTGACACAGTTACTCATCTGGGGGGTTGGAGACATGAGGAATGGCTATATTGCAAATTTAAAACTGTTTTTTTTTTCTTTAAAAAATTGTAGCATAAGTAAAACATTGTATGTGACAAAGCATCAATAAATAATTGTCAAACTAGTCTACATGTACTGCTACTGTTTTTTAAACACTAACAGTTTGAGGAAAAAAATAAATAAATGTGGTAGTAAAAACAATTGCATTGTTTAGTTACATTTTCTTAGTAATTGTTTGCCTTGCAGATAATAACATTACCTATTAAATTATATCCCTAGGCATGGACATCTCAAGGATATGGTGAAGAATTATGCAGTTCATTCAAAGGTTTTTATTTATTTACAAAATAAATTAAAGCAAAACTGTACAAGATGACCTTATGAAAATATATCTTAATGTAAGCTTTGTTGTTTTTTTCTTAAATATATAATACTCAAACAAAATAGAAGCAATAAATCTGCTGCTTATATTATGAAATATTTTGTTCAGAGCAGTTATAATACTATCCAGAGAAATGATTTCCTTATAATTTATATTGTAATACACACACCTAAACATAAATAATAAATGAATTATATCTAGTATATCTATATATTTACTCCCTTGCAGTAACTGTGTACTGAACATAGTACAATTCAAGAACCAGAACCTGATGTTATTTGGTTAGTTAGACCATATTCTAAACTTTATCTTAAAACCTTTGTATTTATAGGGAGATGAAAGCATTAATTTATGGTTTCAAAAACCTAATCCTTTGGTCAATAACACTGAAAAATAAATCTAACATGATCAGAAATAACATTTCCAGACAACATGTAAATTCCTTGATCTAACTGTCCTGCTAATGTGTGAACAACAGCATGATATGAAACCTAAATACAACATTTATTAAGGATCTAATAGAACTCATACTGCAAGAACACCTCAAACATTATAAGTGAAAAAAGACACTTGTCAGTTTTTGAGGTTTGTGATCAGATTCATTGACATAAGAGGTTTTTTATTAGTATAATAGGATGAGTGATTGTTACTATGAACCTTCTTGAGTAATAATAATAAACAGCTAATATATATGCCTTTAAAAACTTAATAACTTTAGCTTGAATAGAGTATTACTCCAGCAAGAGAGACAGGTGGCATTTTTTAACTTACCCGCCACAATTCTTCACTTTGGATTTGGTTTTGTTAAGTGAATAAAAGTGCATTTGCCTTTTTCAAACCAGCTTTCCCACAACACCCAGCAGCAGGTGGGAGAGGGGCAGCAGTGTGTTTGTCTGCACTGCACTCAGCAACTGTCTCCAGTATCTCCTCAAACTTTTAACATTGGTACCAAGAAACAGCAGATGCTTAAGAATCTTTAACAATCTAATCTAGAGTCCTGGTTCTGTTCTGGACAGAAGGACAGACAACTGAATTGATCACAAAAAAGCTCAACAGTGAAGGATATTTTTCTTTTCACATAACTTTAAGAACCAAGAGTTAAAGTTCCAATAGGTTTAACTGAAACCTTGGTTTTTATGACATTTCTACACTACTTTCAAAGAGTCAATTAGCTACTCTGTAATAATCTAGAAAATAAGAATTATAATTTGGCAAAGCTACCACATTAATCTTCCATTTACACTATTTTTATATAAAGGAATCTACTTAAAAAATATTCTTTCAAATAATGTAGCAAGAATTACGTATGCTGTTAAGAAAAACCTAAATAAATAAACCTTTTTGTTGTAAATAGTTTGAAAACTGACCACACCTTCAACTTGTTTTGCCTGGAATATTCTTTGAATATCTGGCCTTCAGTCTCACCATAGCGAGTTCAGCCTCCAGCTCCTTGATGCGGTTCTCCTTGAGGTCGAGCTGAGAGCGTAACATCCCTGTGTGCTCCGTGGCCTCCTTGGTCTGCCGTCTCAGGTCCCACTTCTCTCTCTCCAGGAGGTCTTTCTCCTTGGCCAGAGCCTTTACCGCGTCCTCGCTCTCCTAGCAGACACACAAATCCTGATGGGTTGGGTCACATATACGGCCCTAATGCATGTAAAGACTATGGAGTGGAAAATAGCATTTATATTTTCCTTTTATTGGGTCTTCATAACATATTAACTGCATGTCAGTTAAGTGCATCCCACTTCAGGCTCTTTTTAAATATTCCCATCCACATAGTTAGGACTCGCAGGTTTCTTGGTCAGATCATCATTGATGCAAAAGCATTTAGCATTTTTGATGATTCAATAAGAAAAAGCTGCAGCAGCAAAAGCTGAAGGCAAGTTTTTATTTTAAACTTTCAATCTTTCAGCTTAAAAACAACCCAACAATTTGATAAAACAACTTTAAATCAGTGGCACTCAATTTCTTTTGTTTGTTTTTAATCACTTTTAAAAGAAGGACCGAATTAGGAACCTTGCTCTAGGCAACATGAGCTAAACAGTAAAAAAAATACCCTCCTTTCCAACAAACACATTAAGCAAACATCTCTAGAAAATGGCAGGAATGACAAAGTATTATCATTTTGAAGAAGATATGTAGCTAAACTGGATTCAAAATTCAATCCATTCCAATAGAATTAATTCATTAAGCACATTCAGAAACAAAAAAATTATTGAAACAAAAGAATAAAATACAGTAAAATTAAAAAAGACATTAAAGTCTAATGAAAAAAAACATACAGAAATGAACAAACCAATGCTATGTTTAACAATAAGGAAATAAAAAATATCTTCAGAAAAGGATAAAGAAGAGTGATAAAGCCTGCTTTACACGCACCACCTGAAGCATGATGTTTTTTTCTCACTTTCATAGCTGCAAGAACAAAATTATGTTGTTTATGTCTAGCAGCCGTCTCTTTTGTCAGATGGTTAAAAACAGCAGAACTAAAGTGGAGAGTGTCTATGAAAGAGTCGGAATCCAGTTAACGGAACTTTTTCAACAAAAGAAAAAATAAAAGATTTCAGTTGAAGATTCCAAGCTAACAGACTGCGGCATATTAGGGTGTTTATAGTGTTAAAAGACAATGAGACTAAATTATGAACTCATTCAATTAATGGCATTCATTGAATATGTTAATTTCTTTTATTGAACAGTGAAATGAACGGATCAGATTTGAAGTAATCAACATAAACGAGAGCGACGTTCACTCTCAGAATAATGAGTGACGTCAGGTCTTACGGGACTTATAATGGCAAAATGCATGACAGACCAACATGTCTACTACTAGTACTATTCTGCACCATTCAGACTCATCTAGTGGTATTTCTGATGCCAGTTTTGCAGAGTCCTGGGCAGAGGTTTGTGAACCAACAAAAGAAGTAAAAACTCACGTTTTTGAGCAAACTGTGCCCACTGGGACTAAACAAAAAAGTCCATACGTCAGCCACGTCCACTTCAAATTTAAAGCGACACATCCGGTTAAAGAATCCGAGCTGTCTTGGAAAATATCTGCTACTGATTGAGGAATTTAAGAAATCATTTTTATACAGATCTTTTCAGCAGAACCTGAAAGTACCTGTATGTTTCTGAAGTTCTGTGTAACTTGCAGTATACAGTATATCTTGACGGTATTGAGTATTTTCCATTTCTTTCTATACACATTTAAAGGGTGTAATATAATGTGCTATTGCGTAGGATAGTGGCTTTATTAACCAAATGAACAGGAACTAGTCCATTTTTAGGTTTGTGAACTTAATTCATTTTTGAAAAAGTGAACTATGAACGTGTGCTAGTTCATTTTCATCTGTGTGAACTGAATGTTGAGCTTGTTCTTTTTAACTATTAACTGGCACAAAGTTCCCTGAGACAAAGTTTTTCAATTTTATTTTAATGGACTGGAATCCCCATGATGTAGCGGACCATAACTGCCAAGCTGTGGACTAGGGATCGAATACTGGTTGTTGGATTGGCATAAAAAAACTTTCTGTCTGACAAGCAAGTCTTTTTTAAATGTGTTCTCTTATTTTTCCAGACTGTAAAACACATTAAATTGTCTTATTTATGACATTTCTTAGACAAAATACCGTTGCTTGTTTTTTCAGGAGACATGTCAAGCTCAACACACAAGGTTGTTATGAGTATGCCATACTTTTCTGTGCTGCTCATAGTTGCGGATGAAGTCACGGAGCTGCTCCTCCCGGCTCTCCAGTGTGGCATACAGCTGCTGCATCTGGTTCATCAGGTCAGCCTTTTCTGCCTTAAGACGTTTGCGATCTGACTTCATGGCTGCATAAAAAACAGGAGAAAATATGACGTGAACAGAAATGTTGCTACACCAAAAATACTTAAAATTTTTGGAACTATGTTTACCTTTACATTTTACAGTTCATTAACATTTCATAAAATGATTAATATTTTTCATAACTGTTTTTATTGTGTAAACCATCACAAACCATGAGGTTTTCAAAAAGAAAAAAGCATATGATAAAGTCTAAAATATGACCAAAAGCTATATAAAAGAGATATTATTTTCTTCTTTTTTTCCTCATCTATGGAACAGTCATAGATGTCAAATATATTTTTATTTTTACAGTACTGTTTCCATTAAATTCAGCGATTGTAGTACACTCTCCCAATCCTATAATACTTCATATTATACCTCAAAGCAGGCAGGGGGCTCTAACTCCCCATTTGCCATTACTCTCAACTAAGTTTGAACCTTCAGACATTGAGCGTGAGTAAAAACCTGCCATTAGCCCAACATACCGCATGTTGATAAAGAGGTGAACTACGCATGAGTCTCTCTGTCAATCTTTCCCTTCAGCTACTGCCTTTGTAAGAGCCTACAACCTGAATTCATCTATCTCTGTGCCACACGCAGTCTGTAATCCTTTGGCACCGCACCCACGCATCATCATAAAAAATTACAGTTCACAGTGCTTATTCAGAGAAGCGCTAATTTTCTCAAAGACTACATCTCCTTCTCTCCTCCGCATCGCCCTTCTTTTGTTGCTTTCTCTTCATCTGCCTCCTCTTGCACAGCTGTTTAGCCAGATTGTTAAAACTTCTTTCCCTCCCATCCACAATAACCATATTTGGCTGATTTATAGTTTTCATGTAAGATTTATATTTTGTCTTCACTTGCACATCTGGTGTCTCAAAGCAAAACAGGGGGCACTTTTAATTTATAACAGCAGTTTTTTTGCTTTTTTTTTCATTTATGCTCATTCTTTCATCATTCTTGCCAAGAGTGTTGTTATGAATCAAACTTCAAATCCTGCCAAAAGATGAAATTGTACAAACAAGTTTTGTCTCAGATCCATTATCAGGTAAGTGAAGCAGAAAGCAGGTTTTTTAAGAAGATTATGTTTCCCACAACTCTTTCATATCTCTCACCGACACTCACTCTAAATGGTGGAATCTAGCACCATGAGCTGGGCAGACTATTTGGCAAATGAAGACAAAAACCATCCCTCACTGACCAAGAAAAACAGGAATCCTCACAGCACCTGCCTTGGGAAATGAAAGCTGTCTTTGGGATGAGCCAAAAACTCTGCCGCTACCGCCTCACATCCTGCACCTGTGACTGCTTGGCAACAACAACGCCCCTGGAGTTCAATGCGAAAAAAGAACACACTGCGACTCTATGAATGGATCCATTCACTGCTGCAAATCAAACAACCATTAGATACCAATTAAATTCTGTCAATAAACACTTATTTTGCTTGACTTTGCTGAGGAGTGGAGTCCTTTATTAAAAGGGTCGAGATGCAGAAGCTTGTTAAACTCTCTTTCATCTGAAAGCTTTAATAACAGCTAGCATGCACTGGAATTTAGTCCCAGTTTTCAGGAAATGCCACCAGAGTAAACTAGCTGGGGACAACGTGCAGCTGAGGCTAATGTGTCTGGACACAGAAGAAGGCTGCAAAGGGAATCAAAAGTAGAAAGCAGAGATTCATGCACCTGCTCTCTTTCTTACTGCAAACTCCATTAACCAAGGATACCAACAGTTTGGTAACAAGAGTGGAAAAATGTCTGAAGTGGTAAAGCATGGCCACCGCGGCCAGGTAGGAGACATTGAAAGCACAGAATTGGTTAGATTAGATAGACATTGGGTAAATGGTACTTTTGGTTGCCAATAAGCAAAAGACTGTGTGCCTGAAAATGAGTAACCCCTCATCCACATCGAAGGGATGCTTTTTCTCAGGAAGGACAAGGAAGCTGGTCAGAGATTATGTGGGATGAATGAAGGACATCAAAAGGCTAAATTGGCTAAAAAAAATCTCAAATACTGTGGAAAGGTTCACATTTCAGCAAGAACACGCAAACATTCAGAAAAATTCAAATGTAGGCCAAAATTTTTTTGATTTTCATCTTAAAAAAAAAAAAATTATCATGCTTGTGATCTTTGCTGATCAGGTGCTAAAGTCTAATTCTATCACATGGAATCCTGTATACACCAACCCCCCTTCAGTCTACCTTTTCACTGCTTATCCAGGTCTGTATTTTCATGCAGCTGGTTTCCTGTTTCTTTGGCATATGCAGTGTTCTTTGAGGATATGAGCAGTCTGTTTGTGCACTGGACCACCCTGTCATTCTAGCCTGATTTCATACCAGATGAAGCATCTTTTTTCTATTTATGACAACTTCATTTCCGCACAATGAGTTTAGGTGTTTCCATGTTTCATATTTCTACAGTTCTGATTCCCATGTATTTCAAGGTGTGCTTGAAACAAACATATTTAAGATAAAACAGACTTAAATGGTTTAAATTAACTGATCAGATTAGATCAATTTACAGCTTAAGACAAGCAGATATTTTGTAAAATAAACATAATTTATCACAACAATTTCAAAACAATTACAGGCCCAGTAGAGCAAAATATTCAAGTTTTATTATAAATAGATAAATAAATCATTATCTTCGCCTTTCCTCTGCTTGAGTCCGATAAAAAAAAAAGAGAAATGCTGCTTTCTTCAAACCTGAGGCCAAATGCTACTTTCTCCTAAAAATAGTCAAAGTTACAGCCCTTGCAACACAACACTCTCTAAAGTTTACCTGCTCATGTTACTCAATGTTAGCAAATAGACTGTGCTGTATCGTGCTCTCCTGACCTGCTCCCAGAAATCTGCATAAGTGGTTATCAGCTCGCTGCACAAAGGCCCCTCTGCTACCAAATCCAAAGTGCTTTGAAGTATTTTAATGTGAGCCTCCAGTATTCTAGTGCACTAAAAGCTTTTGTCCATGGCACTCCTGCATAAAGCTTTGCTGCTGGAGAACTTGATAAATGAGCCAACTCATTAGTTACTGCAACGATGGCTTGTTCACCACTCTGTCAGTTTTAAAAAGAAGTTTAAGCAGTGGCTTAAATTTTTTTGTAAGAAAAATCTAAAATACAGGCTATTAAAAAACTGTGCAGCAACATGGAACATTATTGGACGTGTTAACATAGGTTCAGAGTACAAACCCAATTCACAGTTCAATAAACAATTTCTAGGTTTCATAGGTGCTGAAACATTTAAACTATAGAGCTGGGACTTTAACAAATTCATTTATTTATTATAAATGTATTATAAATTTTATTTAATATATTTTCTTATGGTAGAGGAAGTCTAGAATTATTTATCTTTTTATTTTATTAACAGTAGGCTATAGGAGACACTGTGCACGCGACCCATTGGTTTACTTTTTTTTAAATCTCTCACTGTCCTCAACAGCTAAGCCCTCAGTCTCCACCCCCCCCTTCAGATCCCCTCCCCATTCAACCTAAAAAACTCACCAAAGAAGGAAGGCAATTAGATGAGTTTCATTGAAACAATATTTTAAGTCCTTGGCGCTTAGGCCTCTGCGGGGTACATTAACATCGACATTTCCACTGAGTATATGCATGACCTGCTGAATGAAAACAGGGACGAAGACCCCCCAGCCTGGAAGCATTGGTAGAAAAAGAGATGGAATTACGATGAATGGCAGTTGGAACAAGGTGCAGGTTGGTATGAACCTCCATGATGAACAAGTATGAAGAGAAAAAAAAACTCTCCTTTGGAAGAAATTTCTGGCAGAACCAAGAACCAGCTGAAGATGTTAGAATTAGCAGAATTAATTAAGAAGAAAGATTTGTTTCTGTCTGCTGGTAATACTTTCACCATAACAACAGCATAACAGACTTAGACTATGATTTTTATTTTCCTGCTGACTGAAAACTGCTTCCCAATTTGTCAAACTGTTGGACATAGCTTTCTTCCTAGCCTTGATACCAAACAAATATCTACTGAAAAAAAGACTGGACTCTCAGCTCCGCAGTAATTTTCCATCTTCATTACCTCAAAGGAATATTTTTTAGTGTTTAAATTTATGGTTGGAATAATTGTTTTGCAGAAAATATTCAGTTCCATCTAGGTCACAGTGCAGCAGTCCTGAAATCACTGCACTAGCCCTCAGTTTATAAAATGAAAAGATCTAAAACCGTGTAGACAATAATGCTGAATGATCTTGGACTGAAATGTGTGTTTTTGTAGTTATAAGCCATATAGATTCATCTTATCAACAGAAAACTGAATAAAACAAACAAACAAATAAATAAACTCTTTACTAAATGTTCCCAGGAACAGAAGTAAGAGCGGCAACGTTAAAATGGTCTTCAGCTCTCTAATTAACTTCCTGAAAAACCCTGAGATGTGAGAAAGCAGCTGTCTCCTTTAAAAGTTTAAATCCTTCATGTTTTTGTGTACGGTGAAATAGAGCCTCACCATTTAATTAAGTCCATGTTGTGTTTATTTTAAAAGTTATGGTATTTTCTTTTCTTAATTTAATATGAGTATGTACCTTGTAACATTTTTTTTTTTAAATATCTGTCTCTTTGTAATCTTTAAATAACTCTGTATGTAAAAGGGGCTTTATAAATAAACTTTCCCACCATAATATTGGAGGAATGTTATTCCAGAACATCTTGTTGTATTTAAAAATATTCATAAAGGATAAGGTGTTTTGGTTTGAGCCAATGTATTGTTCCAAAAGGTACAGTCATTTTTATACTTATTTTTATACTTATAGGGAAAAAAAATCATGGTTTTATTCAAAAGCATAGGAAATTCCTGCTTCAAGGTTGTTGTTAAGAAACAAAACAAGATAAACTTTGAATTAAAAAAAACAGCCTTGTCAGAATAAGATCAAGTGTTATAACCCAATTTCTTAGTCCAGCTCTATAGAGATGAAAATTCATCAGTTTTGTCTCCAGATTCTGACCAGTTTCAGAAACATCTTTTCTACAGTTTTTGAGAAATGT